CCCGTTTCTAATAGAAAGTGGGGCTAAGGTGGGCTCCCCTCCCCGTCTCTTCTTTCCCGATGTGTGTTCCCAGGCCCTCCATCTAGTCCCTGGTCACTCTCTGAAAACTAGCAGACTGACGACTTGGTCTAGAACAGATATGCACAAATGAATCTCCTTCCCCACTAGCAATGCTTATGAACTGATTCTTAATAATTAGGCAGCATTCTAGTACAGGGAACCTTGGGTTTCCAGAGCAGGGGTATTGAGAGCAGAGACCCTTATTGGGAGGCAGTGTTTAATGGAGGCAACCCTGAAGATTGCTAGCTTGGCTACCGTGGATGGGCTGTGACTGGGGGCAGGTAGCTCCGCTCACTGGGCCTGTTTCTTTACATATTTAAGAAGATGTAGTCCATGTGTTGCAGTAGTCCCTAATCACTAACTGTTCTTCTGGATTCAGCGTTGGAACATTGTGTAGTCGCTGCAGATTATTATCCCAAGTCCTTGAATTATCGCCAGTCAAACTTGAGCAGAATGTAACCACTTAGCAATATATTGGGAAAATATAGTGCCCCTTCATTTAAAAACACCCACCTTTTAGGATTCATGTGTTCACAGGTACAGTTGGACTTAATGTGTGTATATTGTGTATCTGTGTAGCTCCTGACAAGACTATTTTGTTATAATTTGTGTAAGTATAAACATGAAATTTAAACTAAATCACAAATACCTTAAGGTCTTCATTTTTCCTCTGCCTGGCTGTTGTTTTGGGGACAGTTCCTGAAGCATGTCACAGCATGTCACTGGAGTGGCTGAGCTCACACTGCATAGACCAAAGATTTTTCAGACTGTGTTTGGTTAGACATCAGAGGTTTGTAAAGATTTTTTGTAATTCACAAAAAATATTTGAGAAAGGTTTATATTCATTCTCTCTCTCTCTCGCTCTCTTACTCTCTCTCCTTTTTTATCAGAGCTGGGCTTTGAACATGCTGGGCAAATAAATGCTCTTCCACTGAGCCACATCCCCCACCCTGAGAAACGTTTTTTAACGGGACTAACACAGTCAGGGAGCCTAGCAGGCTCGGGTTTCCAAGGCTAGCACAGTCTGTTTAAACCCGGGGTTATATATCTCCATCTTTCCTCTCATCTGCACACCCCACACTGTGGTGCTGAGTACTCCCCAAATACTGCCTTGTGCAGATAGATGAATTGGCTTGTGCAGTTAGATGTCTGTCCTGCCCCATTTGCCTTCTGGAAACTCCCATAATCACAAGAACAGGCTGTTAAAAAAACAGGGTTTGTAATTACTTCTTGGCTCTAGCAAGACTTTACCTGATACCGTGCAGCCAGGAGAGAGATTGGCAAGGATAACGCTGCTGTTGGCATCCCCAGCCCCCACTGTTACACCTACAAGTTCATTTAAACAGCTTAATTGTCCTCCATGATAGGCTTTGCGTAATAAGAACATAGAAATCTAGCTTGTTACAAATGTTGGGAGGCCACAGTTGTGACAGGTTTCAGAGGCTGACAGTGGAATTTGAGCTTTGGTTCCCCTCATTTACTAACTATATAGCCTTGGGCAAAATAATTTGTTTCTCTAAGTGTTATTTGTCCGTCTGTAAAATAAGCCTGTTCTCCAACAGGGAGGATAGTTTTTGTTGTTGTTGTGACTTTTTTTTTCTGTACCACCCCACCTGGTTTATTTTGGTGTTGGGGTTGAACCCTGGGCCTCTTGCTAAGCAAGCACCAACTGAGCTACGTCTCTAGCCCATAGCTTTGAAGATGGTAGATAATACATATGGACCTAGGTTGGTGTCCAACACATAATAGAATGTTCCACCAATGGCAGCTGTTCTACTTTGCATATAGGAGTGTGTGTTTATACACTATACTCTTGCATATATTTACATGGTGAATATAACAGTCACACCTACTGGTTAACATATTTTCCTGAAATTTGGAGGGTTTTTAGCAAGTTGTGACACCATTTCTCTTTCTGATACAAATTTGCCACAAATTAATTTAATCCTTTTTTCATTTTTAAATGTGTGGCGTCTTAACAGGATAATTATTTGTACTTTATTTTCTTCTGGTAGGAAACATAATCACACAGCCGACAGGAATTGCTTTCATGCACTGGAATTGTAACGTGCCGCTTTATTTTTGTGTACAAACTCTCAGTGGGTGGACTGCAGAAATTCTCACTCTTGGAAATGTTTTTAAGCCTCTGAAAACTGAATAGGGAGAAAAGAGCTAATTTGAAAAGCTGCTATCTGCCTCCTCTAATTAACTTGCCCTCTGCTCCTGGGAGAAGGTGTGGAAATAGGAAAACGGGCCAGCAGCACCGGAAGTATCATTCTAGTGACCCACAGTGGTCTGTGGTGTTTTGATACATGCAGTTCATAGTAAAGATGCAGAAATACAAGGGGCTTGGTTTCTCTGTGTTCTGCCCACCCCAGATTGCCTCCCCTCCAGGCCTGAGTGAATGGCAATCCTCTGAGCAGGTGTGCAGTCTGGCAGCTGCAGCCACAGAAACCTCATTGGAACTCACAGCTAGCATGCAAGAGCATCCGGCCCTCCTTGTCACTTGTGCTATTGAGAAAGACCAGGGCCCTTTGTGCTCCAAAGCTGCAAGTTGCCAATAACCAGGGATGAAGAAGCAATCGCTCAGTCCCTCTCCCTGCATCTCGGCTTGAGTAGGCAGCCAGGGATCTCCGAACACCCGAGAAGCCCACAGCATCCCTGGCTGAGTGCAGCGACCAGGATTAGAGGATTGGGGCTATCGGTGGACATGGCTTTTGGCTCCTGGCAGATGTGGTCCCCAGTGGGATGGGCCCAGTGGATGTGGACAGCTGTGAGCAGCACTGGGGACTCCAGAAATAGGCAAGTCAGCTCTGTGTGTCTTGTTAATGTTGTTCTTGATGTGTGTGGAGTCAGAACTGGGTGAGGTGGACTGTTCCCAGGGCTATGTCCTAGGCCCAGCAAGGTGATCCGAACTTCCATTCCTTGACACTGCTCACTTGTGTGACCACCTTTTGTTTTCATACCCCTAAAGAGATTATGTAGAACATTACATACCTAGCTCTGTTGCTGTCCAAGTGCAAATTGGATCTTAAGTTTTCCCTGCAGACAAAGGATAAGTCTTTTAAATATTAATGTCTGTGTGCAAAAAAAAAATCAGTGTCTTCCCTGTTGGGTGTCTGTGAATTGTGTTTATTCATGAAATCTAATATTAAGTTGACTTTAGCTCATCAGATTGCATCAAAAGCAACTCTTGATGATTCTTTTGGTCTCATTGGGTCCCTGGAGGGCTCTGGTTGGTTGGAGGTGCAGGTCCTTAGGGCAATCATTGGTTGGTACTGATGAAATAAGTCTCTCACAATAAGCTGTAAAATGAATATTGACATACTTGTTCTTTATATTTTATTAATTTTTTTGAAACAGGGTTTCATGTAGCCTAGGGAGGCCTCAGACATGATATGGAGTCAAGGATGACCTTGAACTTCTGAAACTCCTGTCTCTACCTCCTGAGTGCTGGGATTATAGATGTGGGCCACCACCTGGTTTATGTAGTGCTGGGGAGTGAACCCATGGTTTCATGCATGCTAGGCAAGCACTGTACCAAGAAAGCCACATCTCCAGCCCTGTTGTAGATGTTCTAAAGGGAACTCACCGAGGGGGCTCCTTTTCCAGGTCCTTAGTGAAGAACTGAGGGGTTGCTTGCTGTTGCTCTGCTCACTGGCTGATGGTCTTTAGAAGGTGGTGGCATCTACCAGAGTCACTGTTCCTGTGACCCTGTGTCAGCAGCTTGAGCGTCTCCCAGTGCTGGTGTGGTTCAGTGATACCCATGTGATCTAGTACATTGTATCCCAGCATACCGTGTTCCATCTCACCTGCTCTGTGTGAAACGCTGATTATAAACCTTCAGCAATTAGCTCCTTGAGATCAATCCTATGTCCCACCCAGTCTACACTCCTGAGTACCCATGCCCTTGTTATCAGCCTCTTCCTTCCTTGCTAATGAATCACTTGGCATTTGGGTGCATTGGGAATATTCTGACATGGACCAGCCTGCTGCTGTTGTCTTCAAAAGTGAAGTTGGCCCTGGTTCTCTGGTGATCTTGAATCGATGAGCAGCTTCTGTCTGGCCCATAGGCAGCATGGAAGAATATAACCAGGGAGCCTGGTTCTGGCCTAAGATCTAGTGGCTGAGGGAAGCAGGAAGGGAGAAGGCTGTCTGTGGGGCTTTCTTTAGCCCAGGCAGGGCCTGCTCACGGCCTCTCCTCGTTACTTAGAGGAGCTTCTCTTGGTGGACTTTTCCCTGTGGTGGTCTCCGAGCAAAGAAACTTCCCGAAGGCAGGCTTTCCTGGGGATCATTAAAGCTGTCTCCACACCACCAGGGGCGGCAGGTCATGCTTTGTGGCTTGGTCTGGCTTACCATCCACTGACAGGCTTGCTGGCTTTCACTCATTCACTCCACACATGCCTTCAGTTTTAGGCTCTGGGTGCTGTGGTAAACAAGGCCAGCCACGTGCATGGAGATTTTGGCCCAGTGGAGGAGACTGATGAGCACTGAAGCTCTGGGAAGGAGGGGAGTAGAGAGAATGGGGGAATGGGGTGGGAATGGGGATTTCTAAGGTGGGGATTCTAGAGGTGGACTGGAGCCAAGGTACTAAGCATTAAGAGTCTCTATATCTGTTAGACCAACTGTGTGCCAAATAGTATATATTAAAACTTATCTTAAGAGCCCACTGTGTGTGCATTTCTTGCTAAGGTAGACTTATACCTTTCAAGTAGAGCTGAGTTCAAAGAATAAATCATTTACTCACAAAGCCAGTGGTAAAATTCAACCCAATTCCAGGGAATCATGCTTCAAAGTGACCTTCACACCCATCTCCCAGTAGTTGAATTGAGGGTTGGGCCCGTGTCCTCTGGTCCCTGGCTCAGAATGTCATGGCTGCCTGCTCAACAGACTCTCCACTTGGCTCCGTCTCACCTGTGTTCCTCTCCTCTCTTCACCAGGAGTTCCGACTCTGAAGAAGCCTTTGAGACCCCGGAGTCGACAACCCCTGTCAAAGCACCACCAGCCCCACCCCCTCCACCCCCTGAAGTCATTCCAGAGCCTGAAGTCAGCACTCCACCAGCCCCTGAAGAACCAGGTAACCAAGGGTCAAAAGCCCCCAGCCCTAGGGAACAGAGAGAGTTGGCTCCTTATACAGTTGATAACCCACAGCAGCTGGGGCCCTTTCTCTGGCTGTTTTATGTTTCACAGATTTTCGTGAAGTCTGAGGGTGGGCAGGGAGAGTGAGTTATGCTGTGTGCTCCCCAGTGTGCATCTGCTGGTTTGCTCTGAGGGCCTTTTACTTGCAGGTTTGAATGGGTAAGGTAACTGGGTATTGGAAGTTTCCGGTGGTCTTAGATCCTTGTTGGACCTCTTGCTCCCATGAGATTGCTGGCTCCTGATAGCCCATATGACTCTGTAGTCTAAGGACAGCAACTAAGGCTTGGGCAGCCAAGTCAGAACATGGGTAAGAAGAATCAGTCCATGAAAGGTGACCCTTCCATACTCTTGGAGTTTCTGATTGCTCATCACTTGCCCATGTCCTCCCTTTCCTAGTAGGAGTTAAATGTCACCTTCAAGTACCACTTAGATGTAATATTACTGGGGGTCAGAACAGATTTCAACCCCACCGCTCCCTGTTCACATGGCTGATGTTCCGTGTCCTTCCCCTTTACGCCAGTGGAGGCAGAATCATGTCTAATGGGAAGTTTAACGTGAAACCTGGAAGGAGACCCAGTCTGCTAGAAATGGCCCACAGGCTGGTCAGGGATCAAGAGGTAACATCTTTAGACCTGGATAGCTCTTAAAGGACTCCATTCTGGCCTTTGGAAGTCTGCAGAGCCAACTCCCTTTAGCCCATGCACTGGATGCCTGTGGGTGCTCAGTTCCAAGGTCTACCTCTTCTCCTGTCCCAACCCCATCTTCTTGATGTGCCTGGAGCTCCAGTGCAGCATGGAGCTGGTGGTGAGAGAAGAGGGCGGGCTTAAGGCTGGGGTCATTCTTGTCCTGCTCGAGAGCCAAATGGCTTGTAACATAAAATAATATTCTGATCTTGATGTTGATATTAGAAAAAAATGGATGGAATTTATTTTTTCTGCTGGAAGTTTATGCAGGTCACTAATTCAGAAAGTATATACATTCCCAGGGCTTAGTCCTAAACAATGGGCTGCCTTGTGTTGCAGAACATGGCACATAATTTTCCTGGGACTGGATCCTTCGTGGAGGGCTGACAGCTCTCAGCTGAGTCTGTAGATGTTGGGCTGAGAGGGGATTTTTGAGTGTTGATCTGATTTTAAAATGGAGATGAACCAAAGGGCTGGTTACATTTCAGGGACTTTTACATCCTTCATTTCCTGCAGTAACGAATAGAAAAAGATATTTTCATGTCACTTTTACAAATTCACCTACAGTTTTAAATGGAAAATGGCTGCATAACAAACACCTTGTAGACCCTTAGGTCAGATGTGATTAAAGCATACATGGCGGAAGGCCATCTTTGTGGCCCTGGGTGAGCCTTCTGGGATTCCCTGCTGGTATTCTGACCACTCCTGGGAACCGTTTGTCATTTCTGGTTGCTGTCTTTCTTATGCCTGACTTTTTAAAAACATTTTCGGGTTCACTTCTACTTTCTTTTTTCTTCTTCACGTACAGAACTTATCCACACCACATTTTTTGGAGCTGTAGAGTCACCTGACTTTAGTAGGGTTATCATTTTATCCCCAAAACTTGATTGGCATCAAAGTATGACAGTTGACCAGTGTTAGATCCCTAAGATACATATATAGCACAGCATATTAAGCGATAGATGCTTGGCAGTCATCTCACATAAAAACAGGACAAGATCCCATTCTATTCTATATGCTCAGAATCAGGTGCTCACTGGTCTGTACTGGTTCAAAGGGCAGCTGCTCACTGGTCTGTACTGGTTCAAAGGGCAGCAAAGACAACAGGCAGTTATTTCAGAGGACACTGAACACGGTGATTTGGAAGCACATGATGGTGCTCCCCCCATGTCAAGGATAGTTTCCTCCAAGATGGCTGCATAATCCTAGAATGGCTCTTAATAGCTGATAATAAATGAAGACAGATGACATTTCTCCTTTGAAGACATCCTACTCGTGCTATGAATTCAAACAATACTTGTTCCCAAAACTTGTCGTAATCACCTTCCTTTTTTAGGTTAGTGACCCTTTAGTTTCATAATGTACTATTACTTTTTTCCTGGTTTGGCTAGATCCAAAGGTACCCCAGAACAACAAATAACAGCTACTATGCATTGTCCCCTATAATATAGAAAATACTATGTCCGTAACTCCACTATTGAGATAAGTTGATACACTTGCTGTTTTCATCCTTTGAAACATCTCATCCTTGAATTTCCTTCAGGCTTTAATCTGATTATTCTGTTCATTTTCACAAGAGCACAAGGTTGTCTTTGGGAATAGTCACAATCAGGATCATTTCATACTACCACATGCATGGCGCTAGGAAACAGAACTGCTAAACAACATAAAGTGGGCCCTGCTGTTCAGAAAGGGTACCATGGGAAAAGACGGGGTTCTGTTCTAGGAATATGACTGTAGAAGGCTCTAGTCTTTAATGGATTCTGCATCAGAACCTGGGTCAAACCCACTAAATGGATATTCTAATGCAGTCACTGGTTTTAGAAAGTCCATAAGTATTGGACTAGGAATCTGGTCACAGTATTGTGGTGTCTGAAGCCTACATTGTGAGGGAGAAGAGTCCCGCCTATAGAACTATGTGAGAGAGGAAGATCAAGCCTCAGCTCATGGTGGTACATGCCAGGGACTCTCTGGTGATCAGATTATAAATGAAGAGCTTCCATTTGGCCAAGCTCTGGCTGCAGGACTTCATCGTGGTGGATGTGCAGAGGATTGGGGGAGCAGTGGTTATTGCTGAACAGTGGTAGCTGGGCTGGCCCTTCCCTGACTTCCCTTTCAATAAAGCAGAGTGCCTTCTCCGTTCATACAATGTCCACCTCTTTATTAGCCTGCAGTTCATAAAAAATGAATATTAGGGGCTTGAGAGACAGCTCAGCAGTTAAGAGCACTGGCTGCTCTTGCAGAGGACCCAGGTTCAGTTCCCAGCACCCACATGGTGGCTATCAACCGTCCATAACTCCAATTCCAGGGCATGCGATGCAGTTCAGCAGTTAAGAGCACTGGCTGCTCTTGTAGAGGTTCTATTGTCAGTACCTAGATGGAGTCTTACAACCATCTGCAACTCTAGTTCTAGGAGATATGACATCCTCTTCTGACCTCCATGGGCATTGCACAACACGGGGCACTTGCATACGTATAATACATTCATACACATGAAATAAAAATAGTAAATAAAAAACATTAGAAAAAGGTACTGACATTAGGACTCATCTCTCACTTTTCAGTGTAGTAATCTTTTCAGGACACATTGCTGTACTCTGGAGTGTGTGAAGATATCACATCAAAAGATAAATGTGTGGTGTTACATTATAATAAAAGATAAAAAAAGAAAAAATAATAATTTTTTAAAGGAATGACTATTATAGATGCTTAAGAGACAATCCGGAGGAGGGTGTTGGAGGTGTTAATTGTCACGAAGTCACTGTCTCTCAGAACTTTGATTATACCCCTTGGAGTCTTTGAACAGGGACTTTCACTTTGAGAGCTGCAGTGAGCTTCTTGGTATGAGGATTACACAGTCAGCAGACCTGGCTGGGAATGTGTCTGCATAACCACCCCTGTGACTTGGACCTTCTGATTTGCTACACGTATTGGAAGCTGCGCCCCATCCCTCCATCCATTCCTCAGACCTGCAGGGCACTGTGAAGGCGTGGGAAGGCTCAGGGCTGTTTGTGTGGGTGGTCCTAGGCAGAGAAAGGTTTGTTCTGAGAACCATGGGAAAGAAAGGGCTGGAGAGGAAAATCTATTGTTTAGTTTTCCTCTGCAGAGTGCCTGGAATGTTACTAAAGGTGCAGAAGGAACTACAGGAAATAATAGCCAAGACCTCTGGCTGTGAATAAAGACATCATTTTACAAAACAATCTCTGAGCTTGTTTGTGCTCCACGGGACAGAAGGACTGGGTGTGGAGTACCCACCGTGCTTCTGTCCCCATCTGGGGAGCCCAGTTTTCCTGTCTTTAAAAGATGGTGTTACATGCCTTTAATCCCAGCACTCAGGAGGCAGAGGTAAGTGAATCTCTGAGTTTGAAACCAAGCGAATCTACATAGCTAGATCCAGGCCATCTGGGGCTACAGGGAGTCTCTGTTGCAAAAGAACAGAAAACAAAACCAAACAACAAAAAAAGGTGGTGGCATGCAACCCCTTTGAGATCGCTCCCCTCTGACCTCTGTGGTCTTGTGAGTGGGACACTTGGCTGTTGTATAGCAATAGAGTTATTGGAACTCAGATCCCATCGCTGAGGGACATAGTTAAATGTCACGTGGTTAAATAATAGCTTTCACTTAAGCATCTGCCCTGCATTAGGCTTATAGTAGGATCTTTGTATGCGTCATTGAGAGCAAATCATCCTTTATTTGAACAGCATGCCCTTCCTGTAAAGTCATGAACCTTCCCTGCATTCTGCAGAATGTGAGGGAGGATGGGGCTCTGGCTTCTCCCTCTCCAAGTGCTTCCCTTTAAGGCAGCTTGTCTGTGCTGGTGACAGGCTGCTGTGACTGAGTTCCTGGGCCGCTGTTGTGTTGTGCCACGCCTACTGGTGCTCAGTCTTGTGCAGAAGCAACTCTGTCAGCTATGAGAGCTGCAACCTGAGCTGAGCCCCACAGCAGGACAGGGGTCAAAGGCTTATCAGGGGACAGGAAGTAGATGGTCAGCAGGGTGCCTAGTAGGAGAAATAAGATGAGTTTATTGTAATAGTTGCCACCCTACCAGGGACATCATCTTTCATGGTAATGGAACCTTGCTCACTCATTCTTACTGGGAGTACCCCCCCACAACCTGGGGAAGGGCTCAGTGGGGGCCTTGGTGGTGACTGGAGCTGCCCAGTGCCCTGTGTGACCATCCAGATCATCCTGCCGGCAAGAGGCAGCCTGCTGGGCTGTGTGGATTGTTGCTCTCTTGTTGGCTTCAGGCAGTGGC